AGAATCTGGTCTCTGTGAAGAAGAATGTGGCATCAGGACTGGATCAAGATTCAACAACAATCTGTGTTATGCAGATGACACAAACTTACTTGCTGAAAGTGAGAAGGACTTGAAATGCTTGCTTGCTGCAGAAGATCAAAGTCTACAGTCTTCAATATGGAGTACATCTCCACATCATGAATTCTTACCACTGGACTGATAGGCAATATCATGATAGATGGAGAATAGATTGAAATTGTCAACAATTTCATCTTACTTGAATCTACAATCAACATCAATAGTTCTAGCAGTCAAGAAATCAGGGGATGCATTGCATTGGGTAAGCCTGCTTTAATGACCTCTTCAAATTACTGAGGAGTAATAACACCAGTTTGAAGACTAAGGAGTGACTGATTCATGCCACGATCTTTCCAATCATTTGTTATGCATCTGAGAGTTGGACAATGAATAAAAGATGACAGAATGACTGATACCTTTGAGGAATGGTGTTAGAGAAGAGTACTGAGTGTCCCCTGGACTGGACTGCCAAAAGAACAAAAAGATATATTTTCGAGAAAGTGCATGCAGAGTGCTTTTTGGAAACAAAGATGGTAAATCTCTGTCTCACATACTTTGGGTCTCTTGCTATAAGAAGCTATTCTTTGGAGAGGGACATCATTCTTGGAAAAGTGGATGGTTGGTGAAAGAGAAGAAGGCCATCAACCAGGTGGATTGACACAGTGACCACCAATGGATTCCAGTATGTGAGAGATAATGAGGATGACACAGAACAGGCCAGGTTTCAGAGCTGTTGTTCATAGGGTCACTAGGAATTGTATTCGAATTGATGGCACTTAACAACAACATATAAGTTGTTGTTGTTGTTGTTATGTGCCATCAAGTCGTTTCCGATTCATAGCGACCCTATGCACAACAGCTCTAAACCCTGCTCTGTCCTGCGCCAACCTCACTGCCTCTGACACACCCATCCCGATTACCCCAGTCACCGAATCAATCCATCTCATAGAGGGTCTTCCCCTCCTGCGCTGTCCCTCCACCCTCCCAAG